GCCTTTACATTTTAGCCATATAGTGTCTTGGGAAAAAATGTTTGTATAAATATCTTACATAATATAAAACTGTCAAAAATTAGTCATGTCTTACTATGCAAAAAATAAAAACACTAACTTTTTTCTTTGAGGATATAGGGGAACGATGTCTTCAGCAAAGTTGTAGACAATGTAAAAACAAGCAACTTCACTCAATACGTCAAAATTCTAAATCCTGTATTTTCAGAGTTATGGAGCTTTTTCTATGGAAGTTCCCTTAAATTTAGTTTTTCATACTTAACTTCTTTAAATTTCATTTTTCAAGTATACAATGTCCTAGACAATTATTTAAACAATCAAAACACACGTTTTTGCTCACGATCATGAATCATTACAATTACTCCTTGTAAAGTTATAACAACTTTTATCTTTATTTTTCCATTACTTCATAAGCTTTTAGGAGAGAATGGGGCAAGTGAGGACACAAAACCAATTTTTTTCTTGAAGCTTAGCTCAAGTACTATAAAGTTGAGAAGGTTTCATTTGTCGCTCCCTTCCCAAATTTGAGTACAATAACCTTATTATTTGTGGTTTTTCATATATTTTTCACTTTCTTTTTTAGGTTTTTTATACATAATTTTTTACTCTTTTATATTTGAAGTATATAATGTTCTAAATAATCTTAAAACAGTAAAAACACATGTATTTGTAGAAGACCGTTAGTCTCTACAATAATGCATTGCAAAGTTATAGCTTATTTTAACTTTATTTTGCTTTATTTTTTTGTTTATATGGGAGAATGTGGCAATGGGAACACAACATCATCTAGCCTTCTTGAAGCCCAAGTACCAAAAAGCTATGCAGGTTCAACTTCACCCTTTCCTCCTCCTATTTGAGTATGACAACTTTACGCTGTTACATATTATCTTGTTTTTATAGAAAACTTAATATATTGAACATTCGCAGCATTAAATTATAGTTAAAAAATAATACACCAATGACCAAAGCACACTTCTGACATCTGGCTTCGTGTTCGTGGGAAATATTTAGCTAATCCATGAACCTGCATGCAAAACTTATGAATTGGTTCGTGTCTGGTCTATTCTGGACAAATTATTTTTATCTAGATAAAAAAATCCTATGGTTTTGACAGTTCGACAGAATTAAGTGTCATGTCGGTGGTAATATCAACAAGCAATACGAAACTAACGATTTTAAATTGGCTCACTACTTGACTAGCCTATTGGTCCCAAGCAAATCGATTAACGTATTTCATTCTAGTCAAAATTCTAGTACTACACAATGTTTTTTTTTTGATTCGCTATGAAAGTTTGACAGATAAAATGAGGGGTTAGGGGATTTTCCTATATTTCGAGGGGTGAATCGATTAGCTTGGGACCAGGGATGGAAAATCATTTACATTCATTTCGTGCATTCATTTACATTCATTTGCCTCTAACTTTTTTTCATCAACAGAATACCATCAAATGATGTATGAAGCTTTTGTAGCTTTTGATATTAACTACAACTTTTGTTAATAACTAAAATCTGTATCTCTTCCGTTGTTGGTTTTCTTCTTCCGTTCGTTGTTGCACTGCCTGCTTCCCTTGATAGAATATTCATAGTAGTTTGTTCATGATTGATCGTTAAGTTGGGCAGATTTTGACGAGACAATTCATGAAGAAAAGTACTTGTACTTGAGCCACAGAAAACAGACGTTGAGGCTCTAACAAAATTTCTATAAAAACTAATGTAAAAATTAATATTCGACATAAGCGCGACCAACTCCGGCTTCCCCACTTAAAACCCCTCTTTGACAGTATGATTGCGCTGACGTTGCATAACTTACACTAGACACTAAGTGCCGGTAGCGCCGTATGGCATTTTTCAAAAGAAAATTTGATCGCCAAATTGGTCGAAAGTGAAAAATGTATACAATGAAAGCGTACACGGTGAATGAGAACGACCCAAATTTAAGTTTAGTTCACTTATAATCGCCAAAAGTGCAGGAACTCAGCCATGAGTAAATTTTGACTCATGGTTTCCTGTGGAAAATCTCACAAATCTGCCAGAAAATGAGGAAATTGACGAAAATTTTATTCAGTCTCGGAGTAGTACCAATAGACTGAGTGAATCCAATATTTACTTTTCTCAAATTCGGGAATTTTTCCCTGGAAAATCCTGGGAAAACATGAGGCAAATTTACTCATCGCTGAGCTCCTGCACTTTTGGCGATTATGAGTGAACTAAACTCATATTTGGGTCGTTCTCATTCGCCGTGTAGGATACTCATGCGCTGAGTTATCTTCGCTTTTAGAAATGTCTCCATAGGAATGAGAAAAGTGACTCAGAACTGAATAAAAATGACTGACTCTTTGAGATAGTTTCGTTTTCAGTGTAGAGGAAATCAGCCCAAGCAATACACATGTTCTTTAAAGTTTATAAAACCTTTCTATTACTGGTTTTGATTGTATAGCAGTTTACTCAACAAAATGATATGAATTTGTGTTACTTGAGAGGAGATGCTAGCCACGTGACGGTGATGTTCCCAGTTATCTTTACGCGCGTTTCTGACGGAAGTTGGACGTTTGTTTTCTGTGCTTGAACCTTGAGTTCAATTCTACTGAAAAATCTGAGATGTGACCTGAGATTAAAACTTCATACAAGGCTTCGTGCACAAATTACGTAATGCATGCAGCGGGGGGGGGGGGGGGTTTAGCTGGCGTTACTTATTATTACATAAAGGGATGGGAGGAGTCTTGGTAATGAGAAATGTACCGGTAACAAAGTGAAAAAAGATCAATAGCGAATAAAAACATATTTGCTGTTTGTAATTCGCCCGTTGTAGCTTTGTTTTCTTGAACTTGCCCTAATAAAATAAATTCAAATAATATTGGAATTTTTTCAATCTTTAAAAGGAGGGGGTGTTACTCCACGTTTGCTGCACTGCAGCATGCATGAAATAGCAATTTCTAACGAAATGGGGTACTGACTTCCGAGATTTGTGTAATTGAAAATTCGAAGTGGAAGTGCATGTCTAGTAGACTGGCCCACATTACTATGGCGGATTTTTTATCGTTTTTTCAACGGGCCAATCCCTAGATATGTGCCATTAGGTGAGAAAACCACTCTCTAAAAATTTCAGCTCATTCGGATGTAACACGAGCTGGCACTTTTGGCTTAAAGTTAATATGGGGATTTTTTCTAAATGTATGGAGAACTAACGTCCCTTCACTCTTTCGTGCATAAAACTGGTTTAGCAAACTCTTTAAGTAACTTAATCTATGAGAAACAACTTTGTTGAAGACAGCATCATGATTCAAGTTAGTATTATGGAGATATTCATTCTTGAATTTATATGTGTATTGTGCAGCAAAATACATGCAGCTTCTGCAACGTATCAACTAGATTACCACTAAAATAATAAAAGTTCATATTTTACACAGGCCAACATCCAGAATCGTGTCAGTATGTAAGAAAACCACTCTCTGAATGTTTCAGCTCTTTTTGACGTTACTCGGAATGGCACTTTTGAATCTTCATATAAGAGATTTGTTTCAAATTTGCATATACAAAATATTCATATATATTCAAAAGCGAATATCTCAATAAAACTAACCGGGTTCATAATGCAGTCTTCATCAAAGTTGTTACTTATTGTTTGAACTACAAGTTTTTAAAATCTGAATCAAATCGAGAATAAGCAAACTTTTTTATGATCGATAGAGCGTAGGAGTGTCGTTTTTTTCATGTATTTTATCCAGGCGGCCATTTGTGGACTCTACAAGGAATCACTTAACCATTTTATTTTCCCTAGCATTGAAAAATAAGTGATCAACACAAAGGCCCCAAAATCTCAACGTCCATGGATTGGTTCTAGTCTGCTCTGATTTTTTTTGTCAACATTATTTTTCATAAGGCAAATCAATGACAATTCATACTGATTTCTTGTGGCTAAAATTCATACGCGTTTCTTGTGGAATTCTTACGTTCTTTTGCCTGCGTGTAGGGGGAAGGGTATCCAAAACCCGATTTTTTTTTGCATTACGTAATTTTTGTACCGCTCCAAGTTTTGTTCGCTTCAACACGGCGAATGAGAACGACCCAAATTTGAGTTTAGTTACCTCATACATCACATAAAGTGCAGGAACTCAGCGATGAGTAAATTTGCCTCATGTTTTTTCCAGGTTTTTCCAAAGTTGTCCAGGAAAAAATTCCCGAATATGACAAAAATAAAGATTGAATTCACTCTGTGTTTTGGTACTACTCCTAGACTGAGTAAAATTTTCGTCAATTTTCCTCATTTTCCGGCAGATTTGTGAGATTTTCCACAGGAAACCATGAGGAAAATTTACTCATTGCTGAGCTCATGCACATTTGGCGATTATGAGAGAACTAGGGGTATCTGGTATAATGTAAGTCGCGACCACAACCACTGTTGGATTAGTAGAAATTTCGGCTTTTTTTTTGTTTAACTTCAGTTATATTTGAACCACAATTTGTAGTATGACAGAAGTTTTTCAGTTTTACAGCCAACCTGCATTAACTCAGAGACCATAGCTGTATGCGTATAATTTCATGTATGCATAATTAATCGTATATAACTTGTGCTGAAAATGTTTTCTACCACTACATAATGTGTTGCGAGCTCTGCTTTTTTTCAGTTTAGAATAGTGTGAACTTGTACGAAGCATTTTGATCCCCAATATTTACTCTTTCCACAATAGTTACAAACTTCCACATTACTACACTTTTTCACATTATACACGATAGTTACTATATACCTAAGTATTACAATTTTGAAATAGCTATGAAACACTTTTTTCGCATTTTTCTGGTATAATCAATTTTTTGCGATATTTTTTTTATATTATGATACTAGTTTGAAATTCTGAAGTTTTTATATTGTATTTGTTATTTTCCTGTTTTTGAATTACTAAGACCAAAAAATGCTATAGGATGTGTTCAACAGGAAATAATTCTCCGCCTTTGTTTTATTTTTTCACACACCATAACTACAGTGCCACAGGAGGAGCTGATTCACGTCCCGCCACCGGTCCTGGAACACCAACAGATGAAAATGCCGGGCAAATTGGTCAAGGTACATAGGTCAACTTGTTGCTGCGTCTAGCAGCACCGTTTGATACGTATGACGCTAGGTCTAAGCACTTATTAATATTCATTCCAGTTACCCACAAAGTCACAGCTGGAGCCAAATCGATCGGGTCGTTCCTGTATTCATCGTTTAATAAGGCCGGCGATAAAATTAAACACCTAAAGGATAATGTTAGTACACATCACAAGGCGGAAAGAAACTAGATAGCTATAACGTTTTAATTTTCCGCAGACTATTCTCGGCGAATTTAACAAAGAGCAGGAAGCATTCATAAAGAACCAGCAGGGAGGCAGTGGACCAGGTGCCTGCCCATGGTCTGGACACCCAAACGAAGTCAAAATTAAAGAAGAAATCCTCACTCTGTCAGCAGTAAGCATTTTGCTTTGATTTAAAGAGGACAGTGTTAATTGAATTTACTTGCTTTCTCTCTCTCTCCCTACGAACAGGATCGTCGGAACTTTGTCCGAGCACCACCAGCCGGGGTTGAGTTTGAATTTGATTACGATGTCTCTTATCCAATTGCGTTAGCCATCATGAACGACGATAAAGAACTAGAGAAAATGCGATTTGAGCTGGTACCTAAAATGTGAGTGGCTTTTTCAGTAATTAGTTGTTGTGTTGCTTAGTAATTTTAAAATAATAGCTGGATAATTTGCTTGGGTTTTTTTCAGCATCACGGAAGAAAATTTCTGGCGCAACTACTTCTACCGTGTTTCCCTGATATGTCAAGCCGGAGATCTGGGAACGCTAGGCGACAAAAACGAATTCGTCAGACGAGGCATCAGCGAAGATACAGAAGGTAATGTACCACAATTGATATCATGATGAATGTGCTATATCTTTCTGCTGAACTTTGGTGTCTTTAGCTCTATCCGTATCGTAGATTCGCATACCACATGTTATCTATATTGTTTTCACTTGTTTCGGTATTCATTTTGGTTATTTTTACGTTTACTTTTCATTTTGTTTTTTTTTTTTTTGTGATGTTCATAAGAACCACCAATAAGTTGCGAAAAAGGTAATGAATCAACTGCCGCGAACACTGTCGAGAGCCCTGACAAAAAAGTGCTCCCGGTACTGAATGAAACAGAATTCGTATCGGAATCATTCAAAGCCACTGAGGAAGCCTTGGAAGAAGTGAGAGCGGATATGAAAAAGCTAGGTATCGATACTCTCGTCAAGCAAGCCAGTGAAGGGATTGGAAATCCAACTGAGAAAAGTGGTAAGACTAGTACTTAAAGAGAGCTCCAGCAAAAAGACGAAGGCAACGAAAATCGCAATATTTACTGATGGTTCTTCAAAGCATTAGAAAGTCCTTTATTTTTAAAACGTTCATGAAAAAAACCGAGTTCTTGTTTATGTTAAGAAAAAACGATGAACATCACAAACGATGGCATGATTCAAAATGTATCATTTTTTTCAACGAAATTATGTTTATACCCAGCTGTTGATCTAACTAGTACGAGCACGTTTGTATGTGTCTGATTGTAAGCTCAATCTACACACAAAATCTAGCAAATCCGCACAAATCCGAACTAAAATTGCATGGCTTTGATGAATCAGCACAGTGTAAAAAATACAATTATGAATAGAATATATATAGTTACGTTCGACAACAACAAAGTAAATTCAATGCAATATCATTTCTAACATTTACATGTTTCAATATTGCAAACATGTACGAAATATGACAAAGAACAAATCTTAGAAATTTGCATGGAATGCAAATGCATTATCTCGATTAGAAAACATTTGTGCAAGCTGCTAACTTTTGCGCTATGAAAAACGATTTTTTTAAACGATGAAAAATCAGTATTCGGTTTAGTAGGAATCCTTTTACGAGGATACTGGCCAATCATTTGTGATATAATATCGCTATAGCCAATTACAGACTGTTCAAATACTATAATAGACCATTTCCATCATACTTTTCCAGCTAGCTCCTTAAGTCAGGAACATCTGTTTGACAATTTTGAATTCAGTCGAGATATTGCGTAGTTTCCTCGAATGGTACATAGTTGTATGCTTCTTTTCCCGCAGACGGATTCGTTTTAGAATTACTAAATTTACCGATCATTTCAGCCACGCTAAACTGCGATAACAGTTCTAGAAATGGTAGGTTTTTCATGAACTTTTTCCACCCGTCTCTGACACGATCCCAACCAATTGAACCGAGTGATGACTTAATTTCACCACAAGTAGCTTTTAAATAGGACCTTACGAATTGAAACATGCTATCAAACAAAACTGTAAATGAAAACCCACAGGCACTAACTTATGAAATTTTGTAGTGTTTTGTAAGGCAGTTGTCACCTTTCAAACTTCAAATATTTCCCTGTTTAGAAAATTATTGTGTTTTCCAAAATAGAAGCACGTGCAACCAGAACTTTGCACCAATAATTTATTTATTAAATTACCTCTAACTCGTGGTGAAAAACCTTAAATTTAAAACGATTACAAACAATGGAGTGCTTTTCTAATAACCGAATTCAAATTTAAAAGGTATTTTCTGAGTTGGTTGAAAATGCTATACAAATATCAAAATTAAAATTTAGTTTGATAATTTATTAACTAGAGAAAGCGATAAATTATCACACTAAAGCTTCATGTTGATATTTGTATAACATTTCCAAGCAATTCTGAAAACCGTAAACTTCACGTATGAAGTAACAAAAATAAACACTTTGAAGGTATTTTCTGCTGCTTTCCTAAATCCTAACCAATCTTAATTTATCTAAACGAAAAGCAAAACAAGCTTTATTGTAATATTCCAAGAAGAAATTACCGTCAAGTTCTATAATTTCACGCGGCGCCTAACTCCGTTCATTTTGCCAATATTTTGTGGTGTATTGTGATGTTTTCTTTTTTATTTTTCCCACACACGAACTAATTAATAATAGGGGAAACGCTCCTATAGTTGCGGTACGTTAGAAGCGTTAGGTTTCTATAGTTGTGCATGGAGACTCAATACACAACTATTTATAGAAACCTAACACTTCTAACGTACCGCAACTATAGGAGCGTTTACCCTACCTAACTATATATTCTGCTCAGCTCAATTTAAAATATCCACACTAAAGTGCATGGAATTAACGTTATTCCCTTTTTACACTTCTGGCAAAACCGAAAGCCGAATTTCGATCCGGATCCGAAAAGAAAATCATCACTTGAGTGACCTGAAACGGGCCAAACACATCATGCGACACATTAAAACACATTGAAATTCAAAAACAAGATCAACGGTGTTCATATTGAGTGACCAGAATCACATTGCTTCTCACCCCAAAGGCCAAGGTTCAATCCCAGTCAGCGCCGCCGGGATTTTTTGAGGTATAAATCTCTGATCACGCCTCCCTTCGGAAGGGAAGTAAAGCCGTTGGTCCCCGGTCTATGAGCCTCCCTGGCGTCGGTAGCATTGGAACTCAGTACGGAAAACATGATCGACGAAAAACAAATCAAAGAAAAAAAATCTCAAAATGTAACACATTAAAGTCACATGAGACATAATATCATCAATATTTAAAAAAAAACTTTATATTATCTGATTCATTGATGCCTCCCTGAGAGAGTATATTCGTGTGCGAATCTAGTAACCAAAACTTATTCATGAGTTTCTAGACTGGCCCACTGGTTTGACGGCGAATGCAAACTGTTAGTAGAGGAGAAGAATGCAGCACGGGCGAGAATGCTGCAACACCGCACGAGATTGAATGTGGAGCGATACAGACAAGCGCGGAACAGACAAAACTCGGTTTTCCGAAGGAAGAAGCGTCAGCAGGAAGATCGAGATCGCGAGGCGATGGAAAATCTGTACCGCGTAAACGACACACGGAAGTTCTACGAGAAGCTAAATAGTTCGCGCAAAGGCTACGTGCCGCAAGCCGATATGTGCAAGGACTTGGACGGTAACCTTCTCACGAACGAGTGTGAGGTGATTGAGAGGTGGAAGCAGTACTATGACGAGCACCTCAACGGTGAAGCAGCAGAAAACGAAGGTGGCACGGCAACAGACCTTGGAGCACGCGCAGAAGACGACAGGCTACCGGCCCCTGATCTTCAAGAAGTTGAGGAGGAGATCGGTCGGCTGAAGAACAACAAAGCAACTGGTGTAGATCAACTACCAAGTGAGCTATTGAAATACGGTGGTGAAGCACTGGCTAGAGCGCTGCACTGGGTAATTGCCAAGATTTGGGAGGAGGAGATATTACCGGAGGAGTGGATGGAAGGTGTCGTATGCCCAATCTACAAAAAGGGCGACAAGTTGGATTGCTGCAACTACCGCGCGATCACACTGCTGAGCGCCGCCTACAAGGTACTCTCCCAAATTCTATGCCGCCGTCTGTCACCATATGCAAGAGAGTTCGTGGGGCAATACCAGGCGGGATTCATGGGTGCCCGCGCTACCACGGACCAAATTTTCGCGATTCGGCAGGTTCTGCAGAAATGCCGCGAATACAACGTGCCCACACATCATTTGTTCATCGATTTCAAATCCGCATACGACACAATCGATCGAGATCAGCTATGGCAGATTATGCACGAGTACGGATTTCCGGATAAACTGACGCGATTGGTCAAGGCGACGATGGATCGAGTGACGTGCGTTGTTCGAGTATCGGGGACACTCTCGAGTCCCTTTAAATCTCGAAGGGGGTTACGGCAGGGTGATGGACTTTCGTGTCTGCTGTTCAACATCGCGTTAGAAGGTGTGATCAGAAGAGCTGGGATAGACACGAGTGGCACGATATTCAGGAAGTCCATCCAGCTCCTTGGTTTCGCCGATGACATTGACATTATGGCACGGAACTTTGAGATGATGGCGGAAACGTACATCAGACTGAAGGCTGAAGCTAGACGGATTGGACTTGCCATCAACGCATCAAAGACAAAATATATGAAAGCAAGAGGTTCTAGGGAAGACAATGTTAGCCTCCCACCCCGAGTTCAGATTGACGGTGACGAAATCGAGGTGGTCGATGAGTTCGTGTATTTGGGCTCACTGGTGACCGCCGAAAATGATACCAGCAGAGAAATTCAAAGACGCATTATGGCAGGGAATCGTGCCTACTTTGGACTCCGGAGGACGCTCCGGTCGAATAAAATTCGCCGCCGCACGAAGTTGACTGTCTACAAGACGCTGATTAGACCGGTGGTCCTTTACGGCCACGAGACCTGGACTATGCTCGTGGAGGACCAACGCGCCCTTGGTGTTTTCGAACGGAAGGTGTTGCGTACCATCTACGGTGGAGTGCAGATGGATGACGGAACGTGGAGGAGGCGAATGAACCACGAATTGCACCAGCTGCTGGGAGAACCATCCATCGTCCACATTGCAAAAATTGGGCGACTACGGTGGGCTGGGCACGTCGTAAGAATGCCGCACGACGACCCAGTGAAAATGGTTCTAGAAAGCGACCCAACAGGAACAAGAAGAAGAGGCGCGCAGCGGGCAAGGTGGATCGACCAAGTAGAAGGTGACCTGCGGACCCTTCGCAGACTACGAGGCTGGCGAACTGTGGCCATGGATCGAGTAGAGTGGAGACGACTTCTTCGGACAGCAGAGGACAACAAGGCCTTAGCCTGATTGGTAAGGTAAGTAAGACTGGCCCACAAAAATAAAAGTACTAATTTTCCACGGGCCAACCCCAAGATTTGTTTCTTAAGGTGACTCGTACGTGAATAAACTGATGCAAGAAATTTTAGTTTTTGAATTTTACCAAACACTGCTGGCAACTTTCCTAAACTTCAAGCGACAGATATCATAGCCCTGCGCTAGATTAAAGGTGGAAAATTAGCAAATACACAAACCTTTTTCTGACGTGATTGTGTCTGTAGCAGACCCGATGTGTGGTATAAGAGGTGAGGAGAAAGGAAACTAGTGGACTCTTTCGTTCTCGCGTCTTCTTAGGCAGCAACAGACGTGACGTCACGTCTGCTGTTGCATAAGAACACCGTCAGAATGAAAGAGTCCACTAGTTTCCTTTCTCCTCACCTCTTATACCGCACATCGTAGCAGATCCCCTTCACTCTTTGGAATTTATAGATACAGATGACAGTGCAGCCGGCGCCGGTGGTGTAGTGGTAAGCGTGACTGCTTTCCAACACCCCGATGGGTCTGGGTTCAATCCCAGTGGGATTTTTCTGGGGCATAAAAGTCACGTCTTCTTTCGGAAGGGAAGTAAAGCCGTTGGTCCCGGCCCATGTGTGTTGAATGGGTGCGAT